CTCGACGTCGAACCTTCCTTGTGTTTAATGGGGTGCGTTTTTTGCTGCACGGAGGCGGGTGCGAATCTTGGCCTCAACAAGATAGTGGTCCAAATCTATATTAGGACCTCGGAGCGCACGCACATCTAAAACACTGGAGACGTGTCTTCCGTCAATCACAACATGATCGATTTTGTTGGTGGTTTTTCTATCCGGAGGCAGACAGGTAGCTTGATAAATCTTCTTATGCTGGAATCTAGTACTACATATAACTATATTTTTGGCCCCGGCGAAGTCGATCAGCCTCAACCCATTTGGGGCTGTTTCGTCGTGGAGGCTGAATTTACCGTCTGCAGTGCCAAAGATACCTTCTTTGCCCACCCTGGCGTTAAAGTCGCCAAGCACAACTTTGACATTGTGGCGGGGGCAGCTTTCATAAGTGCGTTCCAAGCACTCATAAAAGGCATCTTTGGTCACATCGTCCTCTCTTCCGTCGGGGCGTGGGCGTAAAACAGCGATATGTTGAAGGACCTCGCTTTGATGCGGATTGTGGCTACGCGTTCATTCATCGGGGTGAATGATAGTACTCGACGACGGAGTCTCTCTCCCACTACGAATCCCACACCAAACTTCCGCTCTTTATATGGGCGCTGTAGTAAATGCCCCAAGGACTCGTCTCGTCCTTGTCCCGTCCATCGCATTTCTTGGACGGCGGTGATGTCAGCATTTATTTTTACGCAGACATCAACCAACTGGGCAGCGGCACCTTCCCAATTAAGGGACCGGTCAATTCGTAGTCCTTATTTCGTTTGCCATGGTCGTCATCAAAAGTAGGGTCTCTCATCCGAGGCTGTTGTTGCGGTTTCATTGGGGGTGTTTTTTTTACGTGGAGGGTCCCAAACCCACCGCACAACCCTATGTAGGGGATGTTTCGCCGTCTCACTTTAGCTCGCCTTCAAACGGATGTTCTTAGGCTACCCAGAGGATACTTGGTCAAGGACCGGAAGTCGTGAGCTGCATGAGTCATATGTAACAAAATCGTTTCTGGTCACTCCCAGGTGAATGGCGATCAGAGAACTTTCCTCACTTGCGTGAACTTCTACACATGACTCCATCCTCCATTAGGTACATATATTATAAACAATTCAATATAGTGAAAAATTCCTTTACGCATAAAGGTGAAAACGTTTTTGTTGGTATAACAATCAAGGGGATTGTACTAGTGGTATAATTTTGAATATTTTCATACTTATAAATGTCAATGGAAAAATAACGAGTTTAAGGCTGTTTTCTCAGTTAGGTTAATAGTATCTGTCTGAAGGGATATTGGTTAAGTTTATCAAAACTTTACTGATAAATGGCTATTAACCAGACATTTAGAAAATGGYCCTTARGAATTTTACTGAARATTATAACTACTGTTGAAYTTTCCTAACTCAAATTACCATWATCCACAAAACAAACTTCGAGTTATGACTGGAAATTTGTATGCAATTTGACATCTATTGCTAATACAAGAGTCCAAGTAATGGAGAGTTGTAGAAGTTTGAGTTGTGGAAGTTCATCTATATTATATTTCTTTTTTTTGGGATTGTAGATGCATGCATACTTCTTATCACATTTATAATATTGATTTATAATATTAAATAAAAAATGGATATGAATGTGTGCACTGCCATCCTCATATTCCGGGTTTATTATGAATAGTTAATAACAATACTAATAATATAACATTACAGATATTTGGTTTGAATTAATAATTAAATGTTGAAAATAGTAAAAAAAATATAAGTATATAAAGAAACACTTATAAACCTCAGACTTTAAGGGACACATCTTGAGTGACTATAAAAAAATATCTACGMCAACGGGTTTTCTTTTCGGATTTAGAATTAAACAAGGAGTTATTGCTTATTTTGCAGAGTTTACGATAATTTATTAATTATGGATGTCGCGTATAAAACTTCTTCTTCTTCTTGATTGGCGTAGTCACCGCTTACGCGATTATAGCCGAGTTAACAACCGTGCGCCAGTCGTTTCTTCTTTTCGCTGCGGGACGCCAATTAGATATTCCAAGTGAAGCCAGGTCCTTCTCCACTTGGTCCTTCCAACGGAGTGGAGGTCTTCCTCTTCCTCTGCTTCCCCCGGCGGGTACTGCGTCGAATACTTTCAGATCTATAGTGTTTTCGTCCATCCGGACAACATGACCTAGCCAGCGTAGCCGCTGTCTTTTAATTCGCTGAACTATGTCAATGTCCTCGTATATCTCGTAAAGCTCATCGTTCCATCGAATGGACCATCAAAGGAGCATAAATTTTTCGCAGAACTTTCCTCTCGAAAACTCGCAACGTCGACTCATCTGTTGTTGACATCGTCCAAGCCTCATCGTACACCATATAGCAGGACGGGAATTATGAGTGACTTATAGAGCTTGGTTTTTGTTTGTCGAGAGAGGACTTTGCTTCCCAATTGCCTACTCAGTCCGAAGTAGCACCTGTTGGCAAGAGTTATAAAACTTCCTATGCTAATTTTAATGAAAATATATTTTGCGATTTCATAATTAGTTTTTGAATATATTTTTTATTTAATTATAGTATATGAAAATTAAAACAAAAATATTTTAACTAAAAAGTTTATGAGAAAACAAAAAATTAATTTATTCAATATTTCACACAGATGTGCCCCT